CGAGGAACGCACCTAGTCCGGAGTCTATTGCATGCATTATAGTGTCCAAAGACGGACCGTAGATGTGGTACATTCCCAGACGTTTTGCCATTCTTACCACCATGCTACAACTCGTCAAAGAGACAAGTGAAGCCGATCTTTTAACCAAACGTGTGCTAAACATTTGTGGTATCTCTACTTTCACCCTGGGCTCTTCACATTTCCTATATCCTCGTATCAAGCCTTCACTGTTACAATTTTCTACCGTACTTATTTAGATGTAATGTCGTGTGCCCTTTTGAGTGGCATTCATGAGAATTCACCACACTCCAGGCTGGCGTTCTGACCTCCTCACTCTTGTGCTGGGAATGTTGATAAGTCTGCCATATTGTTACGCAGTTCTTTCCTAGGTCTTAGCAGTCTCCATCTTGCTCCTTAGGATCCGTCTGTTATCTCCTTGGTTCAAGTATTTCACTCGAACCCTGCCACCCCATCTATGCTACTCGAGGCTTATTGTCCATTTCCTTCGAGGCTAAAGCCTCTGAGTAAGTCTCATGGTCAAGCCTTTGCTACATAGACCATGTCTCTGGTAGAACCTACTGTCGGCCAACTAGCTCCAGCTCCGTCGCGTCTATCCTGTTTCTATCCGTAATACCAAGACTATGACTTCCTGTGCCCTAGTCTCTTGTGTGCCAACCCACAAACGTTGTGGTTCAATATTAAACCTGATCAAAGAAAGCAGTACCATAACATTTGTGGGTTGGGACACAAGATACTAGGGCATAAAAAGTCATAGACTTGCTATTAGGGATAGAAACAGGATAGACGCGTCGAAGACTAGAGCTAGTTGGCTGACAGTAGGCCTGTTTTACCACAGACGTGGTCAATGGAGCAAAGGCTTGAACATGAGACTTACTCAGAGGCTTTAGTATCGAATTGGTCACTCAGACGCAGGGAAAGGCTAGTAATGCCTCGAGTAGCACAGATGAGGTGGTAGGGGTCGAGTGAAATACTAGAACCAGAGAAATAACAAACGGATTATACGGGGCAAGATGAATACTTATAAGACCTAGGGAAGAACTGTGTAACAATATGGCAGACTGATCAACATTCTCAGCACAAGGGTGAAGAGGTTAGAACGCCAGCCTCGAGTGTGAAGGATTCTCATGAATTCCGCTCAAAAGGGCACACCACACTACATCTAAATAAGAACGGTAAAAATTGTAACAGTGAAGGAGTGATACGAGGATATAGGAAATGTAAAGAGCCCAGGGCAGAAGAAAAGATACCACAACTGTTTATCACACGTTTGATTAAAAGATCGGCTTCACTTGCCCCTTTGACGAGTTGTAGTATGATGGTAAGAATGGCAAAACTCACTGATGATGCCGACTACGATGCCGGCGAGACGTCTGGGAATATACCACGTCCACGGTCCGACTTTGGACATTATAATGCATACAGTGGACTCCGGACTAGGTGCGTTCCTCTAAGTCCTACCAATATGACCAAGTTGCGAAAACAAGATCAAACAACATCTATACAAGTAAATAAGCTTTACATTTCATTCGAGTTAATAAGCATGGAAGGAGTCATGACATCTTAAACTGGTTAATTACGATCGGAAATAATAAAAAAATGACATTCAATTATACTTAGCACTTTTGAATATATAAATTATATACTCAGATTTGTAGTGGAAATATGCAAAGTATGTAAAGGCAAATTGTATATTTAACCCGAATCCCTGATAGCAAAATAAGAAGGATCATCTCTTAGTGGACATAAAGTATAAAGAAAATAAGCCAAAACTTAGAGAAAATAAATATATTCTAGAAAAAAATACAAATATGGAAAAGCAAAACCTAAAAAAATATTTGATAAGTATAAATGACTGATTATGTATCTTAACCAACGGCGAGAACAAAAATAAGAATGCAGAAACAAGGTGACGAGAAATTCCCTAATTAATTGTTTAAAATTAAAAGTAAGTAAAGATGAATCCACAAAATATAAAAACTTTAACACGATGAAGAGCAATTGAATTTTGTAAAGATGGTAGAGATAAAGAGAAATATAAACCAAACATTCAGTTCAGAAAATTATATCTCAAATTGATGTAATATTTAGCTCATTGGGTTGGTGAATGGTAATGGTGAGAAGAATGAAGAGAATAATATTATGACCTTCAACTATTTGCTTACTAAAAATATTGGTTATAATGCTACCAAAGTCTGCTTTACTATACTTGATATTAAAAATTATAACAGTATATACAATGCAAAATTTTATCAGTGTATTATGTCATTGAGCTTAAGAAGGTTATTAAATTCTATTAGGTATAGTATTTCGTTAATCAGAATGTATTAATGATATTATTGTAGGGTCAAAGGACGAAAAGACTAAATGAAAGATATCAATTGTAAAACATTAATTTAAAGCACATGACGCAGACAAACACTGAAATATTCACAATGCAGATAAACAACCAAGAAAAGCTTGAACTGAGACACTTAAGATATTCTCTATTTCAAAAGTTTCAAATGGCCATTGGAAGATGAGGCATCTATCTTTATGCAGATTTAAGAAGCGCGATCAGACAAAAAGCCACACTATATTGGTCTTCATAACTACGGCTTGAGAAATGATAGCTTTAATTTAACTCAAACAAGATAATTCTCCTATTATAGTTTTTTACGAGTGTCTAGAATATAAATGATGGATTTCGGCCCAGATAAGCGAACGCTCAGAAGAGACTCGAGGTCTCATGAAGTTGATCTAAGGTATTCTTCGCACAATCCAACCATCAAAATACCAGGGAAAATCTCTTTTGTTTACTCGCCGAGCGAAGTTACAGCGCCTTTCCCCTCAATTTTATACGCGAAATAAAAAGTACGCGTTTCGACAGTGAAGCAAAAAATTGAGCTTGAAAAAAAAGCGATATGCCTTCTCAAAAATTAAAAAACAATTTTCAACCAAGGACCGCTTGTGAATAAAGGTAATAAATGAAAGAAAGTTTGAAATTCAATAAGTATAAGATAGGAGAACTAAACAGTGAAGCAAAATAGAGTTTAGGCGAAAATTTTTCCCAAGCTAAAAGCACTAAGATGAATTTCATTTCGTGTGATATTATGCGATGAAGAAACGTCTACATAAATCCCACTAAAAGGCGGCGTCGAATTTATCTTGGCCTGTCATATTTTGATGCTACTACTACTTTCAGAATGAAATAAAGCCATTGTAATAACTAAGTCATGACTGGTGATTCATTACTCTGACTTGGGCATGTGCACAAGCACTCCGACATACGAATTTAGAATAACATTAAAAGCAACTAATCGAAGCATTCTCGCTATCTATATATAGTGAGATACAAGAATACAGCAATAGGAAAATGTAGCAGAACAAAAGAGATAACAGCCGATTCATGTAGGAAATTTGCAATAATATTGACAAGTTTAAACTCAATACTAAGGTTGGCACCACGCCGGTGAAATGTTTTGAGAATGTACCAAGTCAACGATCCGATGACTACTGAGGCGCAAACAGTATGGAGCATGTTCTTCGAGGTCTCTATTAAACTATTAAGTGACAAAACGATACCAGGTCAATTATATGCGGCGAACGTAGATCGTGACAAAGATAAAGGTACCGGTGGACCAGTCGTAACAACAACACTAACTCGGTTTCAGGCAAATTATGACTATATTCAAGTTAGGATAATTTTAGATAGATAGATAATTTTGCAAAAAGAATTCGGGCAGTTACTTTATGAAAATAGCAGCTAAATAGGAGAAATGATCCCTGAGAAGAGCAAATAGTGTTAAACTGACTTAAAAATTAGGTTGTCAAAAATACAGACGTTTAATAAAAGTAAGACATCCTTACTAAAAGACAATGAAGAGAATAATTCCTATAATGTCATCAATTTACGCCCAAATTCAAGGAGGCGGAGAGGCGGTAGCTGATCCATTATAAGTTTGGGGCATAATCTGATGGATTGAATTGAATCGTTAAATAGACACAAGAAACAGTAGATAAAAAAGAGGTCATAGTATTTTCATATAAAACACACAATCCCTGATAAAAATTAGGCGAGATAAACACGATGAATCATCATCCCAAACCAATGGTGGAAAGACTTCATTACGATGCCAAGCAAATGATAAAAAAGAATATAGAAAGAAAGGCTAGACCAGACTGGGCCAAATATGATGACTTATATGTACGATTGATAAATTAGGATTGCACCAGCGGTAGTGCCATAAGCGTATGCAAGGAAGAGCATAAATAAATGGACGGACGCATCAACAAATGTTCAAGTGGAGAATGGATACGCAAGCAATCCGCATATTGCTAGTACCAACAGACCCAGTGGTAAGACTGAGCGATCCTGGGGTAATAGAAAGCATCACGTTTGCAGACTGAGGCTGTATGGGTGGTGGTTGCGGTTGCTGAATTGGACCAAGGAGACTGGGTCTCTGACCAAGTCGGGCCAAGGTAAAACTCGTCGAGATGGGAAATCGGTCAGGAAATTGGGAATGGACTCCAACACCTGTTGCGCTAATGTTGTTCCCACGGTTAATTGAGCTGCGAGAGAAAGATCGCCTGATACGGAGTTGCTGGAAAATGATAAAATCCATCAATGGTGAAAGCGAAGTGAAAATATAGTACAAATAGGAAAGCTAGTCGAAGTAAAACTTCAAATGAACTACAAGCAAAAGCTCAAGGAAATAACAATTTCAGTGAAATTCTAGGCTCAACAAGAACTGACCTCATTTGCCTGCCTTGCCGGACGATGGAATTGATTTGTTGGATAGCTTAGTGGGTCAGATGCGCCACCAAAGAAATTAACATTAGTATTGCTCCCATAAAAAACCCTCTGAGAAGAATGAAACCCGGAATGAGACGGTCCGGAATTAAGTTTACCAGCGAATGGGCCAGCCAGATGAGGCTGGCTGCCATAACGAGCAAACGAGATCTCATCAGATAACTTTGACTGACTCGATGAATGTAAATGCTGTGGTTGTGACTGTTTTTGTTTGTGATGTTGCTGTTGAATCGAGCTTGGATGATAGCACTGTAGAGGAAGAGCCTGAATAGATGGATTCCTGAACGACTGTGAATTAGGTGGACCGGAAACGGAAGAAGACACCGATGAGTTTACTTGACAAGAAGCTACAGGAACAGACCCTGGAAATGAGGGACTATTTGTAGGAAAGAATGCCTGAAAAGTCAAAACGAGTTGCACGTGTATAGGAAAAGGAGACTATTCATAATCCTCATAGAAATACAAAAAGAAGAAAAGCGAAGCAAACCGGAAGCTTTATCCGAAGTGAAGAAAAAAAATTAGTGCACAAAGCCTAATATTTGGTTAGAGGTTTTGTTAAATTTCGCGGACAAATATGAAAGT